AGTGTAAGAACTGTAAGAATAGGAGCTATACTTTCAATGTATTGATTCCGACGAAGCCCTGCTCTAAATGCGGACAATTGTCTTACGACAAGACATCCATTGTTAACGTAAGTCTTGTTTAGAAATAGTTAACAATTAATTTGTATTTTAATTGTTGTCTTATTTCATGGTTTAGATCAAAGAGGAGACAACACTTGTGGACAAAAAACTGCAAATTCGTGGCGAAGAACTCAAGTTCTTGAATAGTTGCAGATAACCATTGCTTATGGTTTGGTTTCACGTGTTGTTAATAATAAAATAATTTGTAACATATATTCATTCAATTTGTACTTATATTTTATTCAAACATTTTGATTTTCTCTGAGATCATAACTAGTTTCACAAAACATTAGTCTGTATTTAAATATTATATTTTTATCCAAAAATTCAATTTCTTAAACAATTTTAATCATTCGGTAATAAAAAACTTCTATTTTAAGTGAAACTAGATTTGAAACAATAAACTATTACAGCATTTGAGGTACACTTGATTCAGACTTATTGTGGCGGACGACCCAATTGTTCGATCACTTGCTTTGATCTCGATTCCAGCCTTTGGGTGAAATAAACGTTAAATAATTAGATTTGCCGTCAAATGTATGCATAATAAGTATAATACTGTGCAATCGGATCCAGTTGTGAGCCGACGAACAATGCCTCGTCATTGGCCGCTATCTTCTTCACAAGTAATGACAACTCGTATGCAATCGTCGCGTGCTTTTGCTCCCGGGTTTCATAGTGTTGGCCGAGTATTATATGGAAGTCCAGCATCTCTTTCATACGAGTGATCAGTTGGATGCGCTTCCTATTCAAGCAATAATTGTATGAATCGCTCAAAACATTACACAATAATACAGATTAAGTTAAATTAGAAAAATTATATATAATTTAATTTTGCAATCAATAAATAAAAAGTGGTATTAATTGAACAAAAGTTGGAAACAATTTAAGCATTCATTTCGAGTCCACTTCTCATTCATGTATTCATGTTATACGCGATTAGAGGACTAGAGATTAGGATTCGCTTAAATTATTGTCTAATTATGATCTCAACTAATATTAACTAATATTAATATATAACTAAAATATGGCTTAAATTGTAAATAATCTTTAGTTTAAAATCTAAATAAAATGATTTCACAAATATTTCGCTATTATTATAGACATCACATAATCTGTATATTTATTTAACAAGTCTTTCATTATTTGATAATTAAATTCTTATAAATTAAATATTAATTTCTATTTTCATTTATTAATAATTTCGTCAATTATTAGTGTTTTTCTGTTTTCAAGTTTAAAACTAATGATATATTTGTGTCGTTTTGCACCTAATCTTGTGATTCGTGTGAAAAAAGTTTACAAAAACTCGCTTTTTATGAAAACTTATTGTACTCTAAGTATTGCATAAATACATACATAAATCAAATACATTTTCAAATAATAATTACAAACTTATTGTCAATTTTGATGCAAAACTTATTCATTTCTATAGAAAAACAATAGAAAACGGCTTTCGATATGAATTCGGGAGAAATGGTTGGTTTGGTTTGGAATGTCTTTCATATGTTTCATATGTCTTAATATGTCTTTAGCTTTGATAAGAGGTTTTGGTTAAGAGTTTTGGACTAAAAGTCAATTGATATTAGAGTATAGGATATGACGAGTGTTAGAGCTCTGACACTAACTGTCAGTTTGAATATGTTTTTCATGCATTTCTATCAATAAATTAATTTCAATCAAAATTAATGTCTCAATCAAAATGGGTTTCAAAATGGGTTTCGCTTTCAATAGAAAAAAGTTTTGGTTTCGAGAAAAATAATCAAACGATTGGTTAGTATTGTGTAAGAGATATATAAATATCATAACCGATAGATCGATAGATCAATAGCTGATCAATAGCTGCATCGATGGGCACTTTCACCACATTTTTCAGTGATTTCAATAAGTATTACAACAAAACTATACAATAATTATCAATCAAATGAAGAGCTTTCGCGTGAAATGTAATTTCGAGTCAATAATTATTATCATTACATATATTAATCGTTATATAAAAAGTTGTCTTCACTTAGCTGTCCATTGGTTCACATTTGAGGTGAAGATTAGAGAAAAAACAATCAATCTTTTGATTATTCCGTCATTTTCTTAATTATTACTACAATTAGTGTACAATCCATGAGTCGGTCGAGTGTTTTGTCGATACGAGCGATGAGTTTATAGTAAATCAAAAGTCATGTTATGTTTAGCGACAAAAAAAGCAAATCCGATATCCAGTGGTCGGTTGAGTTCATATGGTTTCGTTGATAACACATAACAATTGATTCACTAATAGATGATCACAAAAAGGGTCACAACGTCTTCACACACTAATCAGTTTCCATATATTTGTGTTGAGTTTGTTTTCCACCGTTGAATCAAATAATACATTCACACATCACTAGTAGCCGTACGGATGGGTACTGGCGTTCAGGCATAGAATTCCTTGGAAGAGCCCCTGGCATAGGGGTTCACTGATGTCTGGCGTTTGGGCTCATCCAACGCATAGCTGCCCTCATCTTTCTTTCGCATCCGATACACAATAAACATAACTAATAAAATGGCACAAAGAAGTCCGACAACAGCCCCTCCTATCACAGCTGCGGCCGCACAGACAGACACACCAGAGGTAGCCGTAAAAAGCGTCGCGAAGGAGTGGGTGAGAGAGTGAGCGAAAGGGAGAGAGAGAGAGAGAGACAAAGACATGAATCAATGAGTGATTGCGATCTCAAACTGTTGGGTCATAAAAGGTTGGGTGCAATAAATGAATGCAATACCTGCGAGAATACCGGGTCGGGCGAAGAACGAGGCCGGCGTCACCTGTTTCTGACCCATAATCGACACGTCGTTACCTAAGCTGTTGCCGTCGTCCTCGGCGTCCGTCACCACCACATGCGGCGGCCATTGCGTCGGCGCCGGCAGCGGGTGTCGGGTCGACGTCTCGGAGGGAATTGGAGGGAAGGCTTCTTTAGGCACACTGTTGTCGAACGGCTCGTCGATCGGGTCCTTCGGTTTGGGCTGAATATCACCGAAACAAATGGGTTGACCATTAAAATCAAAGTCCATTTCGTGACAAATACAACATCTAAAGAGCAAAAACGAGGCAAACCCTGGACTCGTGAGTCGGCGCAACCGTCACTCGCGGCACATCCGGTCGTTTTGTTGGCCTTTCCGTCGATGATATGATTGACTCGAAGTCGTCGTCTATTTATAGAGCAAACAGTTGTGTGAAAAGAGTGTCAAAACAAATGGCACGACAAGTGTGTCATTCAATACCTCCGGAGCCGAGATCGTCGTCACCGTCGCCCTCATCCTCGTCATCAGTGTTGGGATTACTGGTGGCGCTGACCGTCGGCCGACTGCCGGAGCCCTCTTTGGCGCCGGGAATAGCGGTGTCCTCGTCGTCGTCGCCCTTTCCCGACGAGGTCTCCGTGTCGTCGAAGTGAGAGCCACTGCCCTCTCCCTCGTCATCCACAGGAGTGTCCGCATCGAAGTATATGCCGGTGTTGTCGTCCGACGGCTTCCCTCTCGTATTGCCATTGCTTTCGCTGTTAGTATTGCTTCGGATGTGGTGTTTGGGTGAGGAGACGGCCTACCAGTGCACACAGTATACCACATATGAACATATGGTGACAGGAAATGCATTGCTTTTTACTTTAATGCAACCATAAGGACAGTCGTGTCTATGATATGTGCCTCTTA